GATGACAGTTTTAGTTGCTTGGATAATATACACGAGACATTAGACTTGTTGGAAAATAATAGTATTATAGAAAATTCTTTAGAAAATAATCATACAAGTCTACAAAATGTTAAGAAAAAAACTACCAACAATGAACTGATCGACATTAGCCAACAAAGTTCTCAAAGTGAAAATAATATTTTAGTTGAATCTACTAATCAAGAAAAAGAGGATAATGACGAAAGTTATGACCCAGAAATGGACGATGAAAGATCTGACACAAATTCTAGCTTAAGTTTCGAGATTGAACGTGACGCATCAAACGCAAGAGATCAAGAAATAAATAAACCAAAGAACAAGAAAAAACAAAAAGGCGAAAATAAGAAGGAAAAGAACAAAATGCTAAGAATGCGTGGTGAAAAATATTTAGGATTTAGAAAACCTGCAGGTCAGCGAAATACATTTCATGATCAAAATAGAGCCGAGAGAAAGATGAAAACAAGATGCAAGTGCAAACATAATAAATCTACACCAAAATGTTTTCTTATATCGGAGGAAGACCGTAACAAGTTATTTGAAATGTTTTGGGAGAAAATGTCTTGGGATCAGCGCAAAATTTTTGTGTTCAACACCGTTGCTGTAACTAAAAAAACAAGGTCAAAAAAATTAGACCATGAGTCTCGCCGTAATGTAACATTTCAGTATAGCCTGAAAGTTAATAATGAAAATGTTCCTGTATGTAAATCTATGTACCTTGGAACGTTAGCTTTAGGGGAGTGGTCCGTAAGATCTTGGGTGATGGAAAACCAAAATGGAATGAATGAATCATTCGAAAACAAAGTTAGTACGCGGAAGCCACGGGTAAATATATTTAAAGAAGATCAAGAATTTTTAAGTAGTTTTCTGAACAATCTCAACAAACTACCATCCCATTACTGTCGCAAAGACACCGATAGACTTTATCTGGAGCAAGTGTTTCAGTCTGTTTCAGATTTGTATAGGGCTTACTGCAAATTTTGTACAGAAAATGGAAAGACACCATTAACTCACACTTGTTTAAGAACTATGATGGACACAATGAAGTTGTCTATTTTTCATCCACGCAAAGACCAGTGTGACAGTTGTTTTAAATTTAAAAATGGAAATTTTTCTGAAAAAGAATATAATGACCACATAATCAGAAAAGATCGAGCTAGAAGTGAGAAAGAACGTGACAAAAAGGAGGCTGTTGAAGGAAAACTTTTTGTTATTACGATGGATGTTCAGTCAGTGAAACTATCTCCTCAATTACCGGCCAGTGCACTCTACTATAAAACTAAACTTTGCTGCCATAATTATACTATCTATAATTTGGCTAGTAGCCAAGCTAGTTGCTATTGGTACAACGAGACAGAAGCAGATGGTCAGGCTTCCACCTACGCATCTTTTCTGAAACATTATTTGGAAGAACATTTTCTGAACTCATCACACAAACTTCCCATAACTATCTATTCTGATGGGTGTACTGCCCAAAACCGGAACAGTGTAATGTCTAATACTTTGCTTTTCTTATCTGAAAAATATAATGTCATAATTGACCAAAAATTTTTAGAAAAAGGTCACACGCAAATGGAGTGTGATTCAGTGCACAGCTCTATTGAGACAGTCCTAAAAAATAGGGAAATTTATCTTCCTAGTGACTATTTAAGGTTAACAAAGGAAGCTAGGCATAAAAATCCATTTACAGTAGTAAATTTTGATTACACCTTTTTCCAAAATTTTGCCGACAAAAATCTTATGAAATACAACTCTATTAGACCTAGTAAATTAGTTGGTGGTAATACAGTTACAGATATTCGTGTTTTAAGATATACTAATGGAAAAATATTGTTTAAAATCAATTTTGAAGATTCCTTTGAAGAAATCCCAACTAGACCAAAAAATGTTGATTTTTCTATTATTAAATTTCCCCCATTGTTTCAAAATAGACCAGCAATTTCAAAAACAAAGTATGACCACCTACAAATAATCAAATCAGTTATTCCTAAAGACTGTTGGTCTTTTTATGATTTGTTGCCGTATAAGTCTTAATCTTAATTAATGTTCATAATATTAGTACTAGTGCATGACTTGTTCCTCATTGCCATAATTTTAGGATTTTGTTACCTTTTTTTTAGATTTTAACAATCAGAATAAACTAATATTTGCTTTTTTCCTTTTCTGTTTTATGTAGTTTTTATTTAGATAAGTATGTATTTATCAATTTATTACTAAATAAATACAAATTTGAAGAATGAGATACTCTTGTCTTTAATTTTCCTAAATAATATGATAATGACAACGATAATACAAACATGGTGTATTATATTAACCATTAAAGAAATGAACATTGCCTCGTATGTGACAGACAAAAACAGACATTACCTCTTAAGTGACTTAATTTTTTTTTAATTTTGCTTCACACTTTTTTTTATTTTACTTACAAAATCAGGAAGTTTAAAATATAATAAATTTAAAAGATTTCAAAAAATAACTACATCTTATCAACTCTTAAACAGTTTTTTGTTCATCCTGTAAAATTAGCTACTTGTTACTTACGAGGTACTGTCTTTGAACCCTCGACAAGCTGTTATTATTCATTTACCGAAAGGTAACTTGCATCTCATTTAACCTATTAAAATGGGAAATCTATTCAAAATACAAAATGTTCTTTCAATAACAATTCTTTGAGCCATTTGTGAATATACTGCATTTTAACTGCTGTCTGAAGATTCTACAATGGTGCCATTAGTAGTTGAGGACTAGATATTCACTATTCCCCAATTGTCAATAAATTAGTAAATTACCCATTTTATATACTTATACTTAAAACTACTAGGTAATTCTAATTGCACTTCCATATTGTAGGAACGTTTTATCGTTTTATTCTTTGCGATGATCTTATTAACGATACTTATTTTAATATTTTAATTTAGATAAATACAATTTTAATTTTATAGGTTACTTTTATATTTACAAAAATATTTAATGTCATTTGTCAAAATAAAATGTTCCTGATCTACTTTGAACTAATTTAATTTGATTCTCCCATCTCAATATATATAGATATTATATGCCATTGGTTTACTCCTAACATTATTTGTTATGTTGGTTATCTGTTGAATAGAATACTCTAGTTTTGGATGTAGAACTTTAACAAATCCTAAACTATTCCACAATGTCTAAAGCATATTTGTAAATACTTATATATCATGTCAAATTCTATTGAATTTAATAAATATTCTACGTATATGATCATTGCAACTATTAAACACTTACAAATGTTGTTTAAAAATTATGTTTAAATACCTTAAACTGTTTGTAATTAGTTAAGTTTCAATAACTATTTTCTTTTTTAAATTACTCCTAGATAATAGAATATTCTAGTTTTGGATACAGAACTTTAACAAATCCTAAACTATTCCACAATGTCTAAAGCATATTTGTAAATACAAATTTATTGAAATTACATCTATATATCATGTCACATTCTATTGAATTTAATAAATATTCTACGTATATGACCATTGCAACTATTAAACACTTACAAACGTTTACAAATTATGTTTAAATACCTTAAACTGTTTGTAATTACTTCAATAACTATTTTCTTTTTTATATTACTACTAGATAATAGAATATTCTAGTTTTGGATACAGAACTTTAACAAATCCTAAACTATTCCACAATGTTTAAAGCATATTTGTAAATACAAATTTATTGAAATTACATCTATATATCATGTCAAATTCTATTGAATTTATTAAATATTCTACGTATATGACCATTGCAACTATTAAACACTTACAAACGTTTACAAATTATGTTTAAATACCTTAAACTGTTTGTAGTTACTTAAATTTCAATAACTATTTTCATTTTTAAATTACTCCTAGATAATAAAATATTCTAGTTTTGGATACAGAACTTTAACAAATCCTAAACTATTCCACATATATCATGTCAAATTCTATTGAATTTAATAAATATTCTATGTATATGATCATTGCAACTATTAAAAACTTACAAATTATGTTTAAATACCTTAAACTGTTTGTAATTACTTAAGTTTCAATATCTATTTTCTTTTTTAAATTACTCCTAGATAATAGAATATTCTAGTTTTGGATACAGAACTTTAACAAATCCTAAACTATTTCACAATGTTTAAAGCATATTTGTAAATACATAAAATAAAAAAGTAATGATTTGCAAATTTGAGTTTAAAAATAATATTTTGCTAACTCTTGAACTTTTTAAAGCAGAACGTTTTTGGGTTAGTGCTAGTCCTGCTTTTGAAAAAATACGTTCACATGGAACTGATGTAGCCTGAATACATAGTCTTTTTTTGACATAATTAAATAATGTTGGATACACATGTTTTCGGGTCATCCACCAAGCTAAAGGATCTTCATTTCTGTTTATAAGTGGCTCACTCAAATACCTATCTAATTCTATAATAGCAGCAGATGTCGAATTTTTTTCATGCAATAAATTACCTACATTTTGGTCAAAATTGGACCATAATGTTGGTTTTTTTATCGCTGTTGATGAAAATGGTACATCAGCCTCTGGTATTGCTTGTAGTTTTGTTTTATTATTATAAATTGTACTTACTTTTCTTCGCAAATTAATTACAGCATTTAAATATTTGCTCGCCTCTTTGAATCCATACTTTTTAAATCGAGGATCTAAAATCATTGATTCAGCCAAAATGGCATTATTCTCAATATCCCCAAAGCGATCGAAAAATTGTTTCAGCATATCTGCAACAACTTGCTTTACTTCTTCTTCCAAATTAGTATTATTTTTTAAACATCTTAGATGTTCATATATGGCACGAACAAAAATAAGTATTTTTAAAGAAGTCACATTTTTTTCTGAGCTGATTTCATCAGTGATTTCTTTAAAAATCTGTAGGACATCTATTAATTGTTCCAATACTGACCATTCATGGCCAGTTATGTTATTTATGTTTGGACATTCTAGCGCTAACGTGGACATTATGGCATCTTTTGACATGCCCGATTGACCATGTCGAGCGTTGAATTCCAACGTGTTCGTACATCCTGCTTAATTTTAAGTTCAGGCAATCCCATCTGAACTTGTGCTTTAGTTAATTTTGATAATGTTGCAGAACTTTTCCTTAAGAATGCTACAATTAATTTCAGTTTCTCCAAAGTCGGATCTATTGTTTTTAAACCATGTCGCACTAAAAGATTGATCAAATGTGCAAAACAACCACGTGAGTTCCATCCCCCTTCTCGCACTGCAGCATGAACATTAGGTGCATTATCAGTGACCACACATCCTATTTTCAGTTCAATTTTCCACTCTTTGAATTTATCAGCCAAAAGTTTTGCTAAGTTTTGTGCGGTATGTTTTTCCTCATAAGCAAAACAGTCCAACAGATGGGACCTTAATTTTAATTGAGACTGCTCTTCGATAATGTAGTGAGCAGTAATTGCAACAAAGCTCTCATTATTGGTGGATGTCCAGCTATCCGTGGTAATACAAATGAACTCAACTTGAGTTAATTCAATTTCAATTTTTTCGCGATTTGATTGGTGAAGTTGTTCCAATAAATTGTTGCTGATAGTTTTCCTTGATGGTACATTATAATTAGGGGACAACATCTCCAAGAGTTTCTTAAATTCTACTTCTTCTACAATTTTGAATGAATGGTAACCTTTCACAATAAACCGTAATATTTGTAAGTCAATTTCTTTACTTCTAGCAATCGATAGTGGTTTCTTACTATAAGCAAAGTTAGTTAAAACTGATTGAGTCTTTAGTTTTTTTGGTTTAGGTTCAATGTTCTCATCCTCACTATAAACACTAACACCAGACATCGTATCGGCACCGGTACTCGTACTTGGTAAATTATAGTCTCTGTTACTTGTACTTGTCTCTTGTATCTGGGTTTGTTCTAAAGATACTGTGGCACCAGTAACCCCTTTCCTGGAAATACTAGTTGTAGGATGTTTCGTCTTCATGTGACGATTCAAATTACCCATTGAACCATTTTTTGTCGACAAAATCTGTTTGCAATACAAACATTTTGCATTACATTTGTCGTTTAAAATTTCAAAATGAAACCAGATATCACTTCTTTTAGGAGCCATTCTTACCACAAAAAACTACTAAATTACCAACGAATGTAATATAAATATAAAAATTAAAGAAGTGATCACTACGAATCAACAAAACAAGAAGAAATTTGTACAAATACAAATATAAAAGCAGGTCAAACACCTTGCACTGACGTGTATTATGTTAAAACTAAAAGTCTAGGTTATCAGTTTTTCGTTTTTCCTCGAAATAAACCTATTCAAACAAAAACAACGCTTTATAAAATAACGTTTTTTAACAAATTTAATGGAAAAGTATACTACAATAAATTATTCAGCGTCTCTTTCTTTAACTTCCATCGCATCTCCATCGCCATCTCATTCTTATAAAATGAAAAAGAAAAAGATCCCATAACGCATCCTTTACTTCTATTTCGTCAGATGGTCGTAACTCGTAACTAAATCCATCAAATGCATCAACTCAAATAATCAAGTAATAAAAATCAAACAACATGTTTATCATTTGCATCTCACTCTTCCTCGTGGGGTTAAATTATGACGCTCTTTCTTTAAATATAATTTATCGGCTTCGATCTAGCTCGACCTCGACAAACGTTTACGGTTGGCGACATGCATTAAATCGTTGAAAGATCGAGATCGGCAATTGAAAATATCAACATCTCTTTCCATCTTTGCCTCTCTCGATCTGTCTGTTACGTTGTGTGACGTTTAGTTCGATATGATTCGCTCTTTTTAATATTTGTGATTGAATCATTTAGTTCAGTTATGAGAGTCGATCTTTTGAACTAGTTCGTTCGCGAACTACCCAGCTCTAGGAGGCAGCAACTAACAGTTCTTTGTCTTTCAACGAGGTATTCATTGTTTTCGTTTTTTAATCTATAGGCACTCTTATCCTGGTAACATTGTAAAAGAGCAAACTAGTGCAGTTCGATGGCTATATTTTATAGAGCTTTCAACTAGCTTACTTTTTTTAAGCTTATAATCCTTTCAACAGTTTTATCCCTTAAAAACAATAACAACTGATGGATACTCTTATCCAATCTTTTCATTTTTTTCTTATCTATATAAAAATATTTTAAAACTTTATGAAAATTGACAATGCCCATATTGGTATTAATTCCACAATATTTCCTATAACAATAGGCCCATTGTTGGATGTTATTGTAGTAGTTCTGCTGGAAATACTTACCACAATTGTATGTATCTGCATCATTTAGAATTGTACCCAAAAAGCTATTAATACTCTCTAAAACTATATCTCAATCTAACATATGTTGCAGCTCTTTCAACATCTTGTATACATAGGATTTTTTCAGAATTAGATATTTTATTAAGATTTACTTGCCATGCATATATGTGCCAGACACATAACAGCCTATTAGGAACAGAACCCATTAAATTTGACTAGGCATTGTAAAAAGTGTTAGTTATGTCTGACATGAAAACATTTGACTGTATAGTATCAACATGCTCATATATTTTAGAAAAAAAAGTTGGTAAATAAAAGTATCTTCTATTTGAAAATAAGAAAGCAGTCGGAAATCCATTTCCAAATTCATCTTTCACTAATACTGTCGTAAGCTCAAAGTCATAGGAGTTGAGCCCATGAGTTCCATCAATGGCGACAATGGATTTACCAAACTTTATTAATATTTTCTTTTGCACGACATTCATGAAAAGAAGACGAAAATCATTATTGTTAAATTCAGGATGATTGTCCATTAATATACCCTGTTGTTTTTGTAAAATAATATTGAACATGAATCAGTCTGTAAGCATTCAGTCACCCACAAATGAAAACTGGTTGTGTCATCTTTGTGCCTACATTCATCTTTCAAATCAATTCCATAAGAGTGTTTAATGTTCGTGATATCTTTTCTTGTAAGTAAATCAACTCTTTTTAATTCACCACCTATGCTAACCCGAACATTCTAAAGCGCACTAAAAAAGTAAAATATATATTAGGAGAATCATACACGCTAGTTTAAAGTTGTAAACTGTATTAAATATTCATGATTAACATTTAAAAAGTGGTTTAGTGGTAACATTTTTGTTTTTATTATATTTGTGTATATGCAAATTTTTACTTACATTTTTGAAGAAACCCCCAAAATAAGCTTTGAAGCAATATTTTCTTCATCTGATTTTGGTATATGTAAGTGCTCTATGTCATCCTCATGCCCATAATGTATTTTAAAATATTTTATTACACAACAGTCAGTTTGAATATTTTTAGATACTATTCTTTGACTAGTACATGAATTAAACATTTTGCAGGATCTTTGAGATTTTAAAGCTCTTCCTCTATCTTGTTATGCAGAATAATTTTTTGAGGATCGAATACATCCAAAATAAGATGTTTCCTGTTCTTTGCGACGCTTTAATCCTGTGACTTTGCAGTACTGAATATTATTTTATTTCTCTTCCTGTGCAATCCACACAGTAAAAACTACAAAACAACATCAGATTACATGAGCAGTTACTACTTATAACTTACAGTAATAAGTACCGACATAAAACTACCTATGAAATCTAATTTTTTTTTTCAACCAACTTCAACAATTTTTGATATCAACCTGCATACTTAAATAAATAATAATATGTAAGTTGACTAAACTTACCTAAAAAGTTTTTGAATTGCAATTTTACCAACTATGTAGGTTGCCCATGTTTTTTGTGCAAATGAAATCGTAAATCTCTATTAAGGTAAATAATCAGTAGTTGACACTGTTGCGGAGTGTTACAAAATAAATTTTCAATTTTAGGTTTATTTATAGTAATATTATGCTCAAAAACTTATTTTGAATGTTTTAGACATTAAGAAACAATAACTGCACATAAAACCATCTTAAATGTTAAACAAATATCATGGATGGATCGCAAAAGAAACGAACAAGTTCTCGAACAACTAGGAAAACAGTACGAAGTTTTAAATTCCATAAAAATCAGGAAATTGGAATACTTGGGGCACATCATGAGTGGTGAAAAGTACGAAATACTAAGTAATATAATGCAGGGTAAAATCAAAGGTAGAAGAAGCGTAGGAAGACGTAAAATCTCGTGGCTACGTAATCTCCGTGAATGGTTTGGATGCAGTTCAATTGAACTATTCAGGCGCGTAACCAACAAAATTATAATTGCCAGAATGATCTCCAATCTCCGATAGGAGTGGAACTTGAAGAAGAAGAAGAAGAAATGTTAAATAGAAATTTTTTATTTAAAATAATTTAAAAGTTATAAAAAAATCAATAGTTGACACTAAAAAAAAAAAACAAAAATCAGTCTTTGACATATATATAACCAGTTGTTGACACTATAGATAAAGTCACGTTCAGATGGCAGTGTACGGATATAGGATAACAGCGTTGCCAATTCTACTGCCATTGTAAGTTTTGCTACTTTTGTAAAATAAGCAGAGCCAAACTCACGGTAAACTAAGATATGTTTAGGTAAGCTAAAGTTGTTAATAGAAAATTCGTGAATGAAATAAATGGTAATAATTCCAAAAATGCTTTTATACATAATACCGCAGTTAATAGGGAAAAAAATATGAAAAATATTCTACAGGTTTTTTAATGTTCTAAACGGTAGATAAGGGATAACTGATGATAATTCCTTGAAGAATTACAGCCAATTTTGCTTTGTTTATTTTTTAAAGAAAGATGAAGTTTGTAAAAAATCATTTTTTTGCCTATTTGGTTCCTCGTGCATTTTAGGGAAAAATGTTTCAAATAAATGTTGCAGATCTTAAAAAGTTTTTTAATTTTTTAGTTTGTAAATTAAAATACATAAACAAATGACTGAGATAATTGCAAAAAACCCCTAATTGAGGCCCCTAGAACACAAGGGTGTAAGTGCAGTTGCTTATCACTTAGCAACTGATATCTAACAACAGGCACGTACTTTTGGCTTCAAACTTTCTACATTAACAACAATAACACCATCAAAAATTACATGTCATTGAAAACATGCTGAAAACTGAAAAAGTGCTACCTAGGTTTTTAAATTTATATCGAACTTTGAAGAAAGATTTTTCAAAACTTTGTTTTTCGCACTTACACCCCTTGTGTTCTAGGGGCCTCAATTGTGCACTAATTTATTAAATGTTCATAACTTTATTTTTTGCATAATGACGTCTAATATAACTACTTGAAATTATGTCGATTAATGAGGTATTTAAGTGTGCTACATTTCAACCAGATCAACTAAATATTTTATTACCTTTACTGAGAAAAGAATTCCCCCGAAAAACAATTTTCAATCATCTTTATTTTCATAATCTAGTTCATCTTCAGAGTCATCGTTTAATAAAATTCTAATAGGTTCAATGTCATCTTGAATGTTGTCTACTGTCCAAAAATTATTCTCCAATTTTATAACATGGTTGACGTAATTTTTCCAATGTCCATTGTTCTATACTTTATCATAACCTTCATAAATGAATGTTTTAACGTCGTTTTGTTTGAAACTTGAATTCTTAGAGGACACGTACCGTTTCACTTCACTCCACACCATTTCTATTGGGTTCAGTTCACAGTGATAAGGCGGAAGTCTTAAGATATGTACATCTACGCGGCATTGTTCGTCACTGTGATTCCTGTATTTTTCACCAATACAATCAATTTTGTATTTGTCATAAATATTTTTAAATACATTAGCAGTTTCCAGACGTTCATTTTTTAAGTAATCTTCTTCAAAATAAATGTCCTTTTCATAGAGCCACTCCTTAATTTGACGTTTCACCCAATATTGTTTGGGAAAATTTAATTTCCTAGAGTGATAAGATGCATTGTCCAAGATAATGACATTCTTTTTATTTTTTGGGAGATTCGGTATTAACATCTCTTCAAACCATTTTTCAAATAGATCTCCGTCCATCTCTTCATGGTAATCATATAGAAGTGAAAGTAATTTTTACTTTCACTTCTATATCGGAATATCGTTCGCTCAGAGACTCCAGTCATAGCAGAAACTTCCCGCACTATTGTTAATACACTTTTATCATTATTACTGTTTGATAAATAGTTAAAAAC